GGGGGGTGCTTTTGTTGTTGGGTGTTGAATGAAGTGAAGGGTGTTGGGACCTGGCTGGAGTGGAGAGGTTTCAGCTCTCAGGGGAGCAGAGCTTGTTGGGTCCAGGATGGAAAGGGGGTTGGCATGTTCCAGGGTTGGGGAGTATCAGATCTGGTGGGGACTGATGTCAGGTCCCATGCAGAGAGAATTGCAATTCAGTATGAGAGCTTTTAGATCTGGGTGGGTGGGTGGGTGATGGTTTAATGAGGGACTGTTGGCATGTGTGATGTAAGGTACTTCAAGGAGATGGGGCGGTGTAAGGCCCTGAAGATAGTAGGGTGATTGTTGGTTCCGTTTGGTTGGGATATGTGGAGTCCTGAGGGAAGAGGAGGTTGTTTGGTCAGGATCTATTGGTTATAAGGCATCTGGGGAAGTTGTGTGGGTGTATGTGTGGTAAGTGCAGCTTACAATTGAGTACGAGAGTTGAGCACTTAAGGGAGTTCAGCGGAGAAAGAGAAAGAGGAGCTGGTTGATTTTTGTCCAAATGTTTTCAGCCTCCAGGAATTAATTCTTGCTCTCCTACAGGAAAAGAAGCTAGTTAAGGGTGGCACGGTGGCTCAGTGGTTAGCACTGTTGCCTCACAGCGCCAGGGACCTGGGTTTGATTCCACCCTTGAGCAACTGTCTATGTGGAGTTTGCACATTCTCCCTGTGTCTGCGTGGGTTTCCTCCGGGTGCTCCGGTTTCCTCCCAAAGTCCAAAGATGTGCAGGCTAGGTGGATTGGCCATGCTAAATTGCCCATAGTGTTTGGGAATGTGTAGATTAGATGGATTATAGGGGGATGGGTCTGGGTGGGATGCTCTGAGGGTCGGTGTGGACTTGTTGGGGCAAAGGGCCTGTTTCCACACTGTAGGGATTCTATGGTTTAATTGGTGAGTGTCTAGTAAATGAAGAAGAAAAATGCATTTCTGTCTTCACAGATGCTGTCAGACCTGCTGAGTTTCTTCAGCATCTGTGAAGACAGAAATGCATTTTTCTTCTTCATGGCTCAGGGCCGTCTTCAACCACAATATGATGTAGGGAGAGCAGCTAATCGGTGGGCAGGATTGGTAAGTATTTCTAGTCTTTAAATTATAAGTGAGGTCTTTAATTTGTGTTCAAGTCTATAGATAATCTTCTCTAGTTTCTTAAAAATTAGCTTAAATATAACATTGTCAAGAGACTTTGCCCTAGAAGTTTGAGTGATGAGCTGGAGAGGATATAAATTACAGATGATGTTCTTGATGATCCCTGGTTGGATCTACAATATATTGTTCTAGGAAACTATCCTGAATGCACTCAGTGAATTCTTCCTCATGGTTACCTCTGCCAAGTTTGTGTGTGTGTGTGTGTGTGAGAGAGTTTGGGAGCGAGAGAGAGAGAGTGTGTGTGTGTGTCAATGTCTGTCTGTGTGCCTCTGTGTTTGTATGTATGCATGTCTGAGTCTGTGTCTGTGTCTGTCCGCATCTGTGTGTGTGTGTGTGTCTGCATCTGTGTGTGTGTGTGTGTCAGACCAGTGCAGAGCTGCCACTATAGTGACTTCAAGTCAGAATTCACAAGAGACCAAATCATTGTAGGCATTACTGATGAGTATTTGAATCTTTGTCAGACTTATTACAATCCAGATGAGACCTGAAATGTGATAAAAGGCATTCAGATTGTGACTGATGTCGATGAACATTATCGATCTTAAAGGCAGAAGATTGCGGACATTTTGGACTCCATTCAATTCTTGTGTGAAAGAATAAAACCTCAAAAGGTGCAAATAATGTCCAGCTGTTGAAGCCAAATGCTTTTACTGGAAAATAATCGTTCATTTTCAGAAAATGTGTTGAACCAGCTCACAGCCACAGAAAATTCCAAAATACCAAAGAACTACCCACACAGAGGTAAATGAGGTAGATCAGTCTCCAGTAGAAGACAAACTGAAAGGAAGTTGACCCAGACCAAATATTTTGGCAGGCTGACATTTAGACACAGGAGCAAGTGTCACAATATTATCAGGTACTGAGCCTTGGCTGTTGAAAAATATAATATAGTATAATATAATAAATAAAATATAAAAATACAATATCCTTGTAAATCTTTTCTGAACCCTTTCAAGTTTAAGAACATCTTTATGTTGGACTTTGTCAAAAGTGTTCTGAAAGTCCAAATAAGCCGTATCCACTAGCTTCCCCTGATCCAGTCTATTTGCTACATCCTTGAAGAATTCCTGTAGCTTTGTCAAGCATGATATCCTTTTATAAATCCATGCTGACTGTGCCTGATTCTGCTGCAGTTTTCTAAGTGCTCTGCCATATATCCTTGATAATGGACTCTGGCATCTTCTGAACTACTGACGTCAGACTCACTGGTCTATAATTCCTTGTTTTCCCACTATCTCCCTGTACAGGATGGGCTAAAATTGATGAGGATATTTGCCAACTGCATGACCTTGAATGGGTCCTGTGAACATTCCTGTACATGCCAAAGACAGCACAATCAACGTGTTTTTCTGTACTTGTTTTTCTGTAGTTGCTGTTTGTTACACTGTATAAGAGAGAGAGTTTTGTTCTGAGTCATTGGACTTCACCGCGGACCAGGATCATGAGCAGTGCCAGGAATGAACCTAAGCCTCCACACCAGCCATTAATCAAGGGGTCCCCAATGGGAAGAAGGGTGTGAGGCTTATTGCTTTGTTTCCTTTCTTTTTCATTCTTTCTACTAACTTAATCAATGTTTATATTTAAATAAATTTGTATTGACAAGTCTTCTCTTAACTATATTTAACTAAATCTAAAGAATCATTTGGATACACTTTGTGATCCAAGACCCTCCCTTTTCAAGTAGTGGGGTTACATTAGCTACCCTTGAATCTATAGAAACTGTTCCAGAGTCGAAAGAATCTTGGAAGATAACCACCAATACACCCACTACATCTAGGGCCACATCATTAAGTGTTCTGGGATGTAGATTATCAGGCCCTGGGGATTTATTAGCCTTCAATCCCATCAATTTCTCCAACACCGTTTTTCTACTAATACAGATTTGTTTCAGTTCCTCCCTCACACTAAACCCTATGTTCCCCATCATTTCTGGAACATTATTCCTGCTCTCTTTTATGAAGATAGAAGTGAAAGTCCTGGAGCCATTCCTAGCTGAATGCTGTGAACAATGGATGATCTATGATGAATTGCATGAGCTTTCTCATCTTTCATTACTTCATAATGATCATTCCATCATTTAATACTAGATTAAAGCAGTGCAAATACTCTTTTGTATTAACTAAAGGGAACAAATCACCCACAACATTGTAGGAACTTGCCTGATCCAATTGTGTCTGCTCACAGGGAAAGGAGAATGTGAAGCCTAAGGAGAGCCGTGTGCCTTTCACTCCCATATATTCCAGAAAGTCAGCGATGCATTCTACAATGTGGTCAAACAACTGGAAATAAGAATGCCACACATTAAGTTATAAATTCATCCTTTTTCCTCCTAGTCTTCTCCCCTCCAAAGGTAGAAACACATAGACAAGATTCCACAGGCATCAGTTATCTTCTTACATCCTTGCCAACTTCCCAATCTTCGTCAGAGATAGTAAGAACTGCTGATGCTGCAGTCTGAGATAACACAGTACGGAGCTGGAGGAACACAGCAGGCCAGGTTGACCCGAAACGTCAGCTTTCCTGCTCCTCTGATGCTGCCTAGCCTGCTGTGTTCCTCCAGCTCCACACTGTGTTATCCCAATCTTCCTGCTTGATCCCACCATCACAAACTAATTTATTCAGGGATAAACCTTTCCCCTTCACATGGCTATGTCAAGATTAGCATTGTCTTTACCTGACATTCAAACATACACATGCTCCTTCCAACCAAATTTCATGCAGGTCTGAAACTGTTACCTTAACTTCCTCTACACTGCGCTCAACTGTGTGGTGATCATGATCAACTCAGTGAGGTGAATTGACGAAATAGCAACTGGGACTGAGAATGTTTAAATGGTTTATATTATAAACAGAGCTCTTTATTCTTTCATCTAGGTAATTGAGAAATGGATTAAAAGGCAATGCATCCCAGTGCAGATTCCTGGGGATACCACTGCTCTCATGCAACCAGTTGAGCCTCAGCTATTCTCCCTTACTCTCTGCCGTCATTGTCCTCTACGGTTCTCTACTGATGTCAACAGACTGTTCCCATGTTAACACCCAAGTGTTCATTCACTGTGGGCAGAAGTTTGTGCCCATCCTAGTACACATTTAGTGGTGGAGGCGGCATTTAATCAGGTGAGAAGGTAATAGACAAGGAATATGCCTCTTGCCTGCTCCCATGTTGATGAAGACGGTTAATTGAGGCCCTTAATTGACCCTTTTAAGAGCCTCATTTCGCTGTTGTTGGGCTAGTTCCAGCAGTGGGCACAGGACTTGCTATGCAAGAAGCTTGATTGAGCCTTTTAGAATTGCTTCTGACTTCTGAGGAAGGAGTGTTTCATTCAACGGCAGTGTATTATTGCAGGATCTGGCATCAGGGAGGCTGTAAGGGGAGTGCTGAGGACACCCTCTGCCATTGCTTCTGACCCTCTCTATACCTTTCATGCAAGCTCCAACTTTTCACCACCCCCACTACCGCCACTCCACCACCATCAGGACTTAGGCATTGGGTTCCTAAAATGACCTGGCTCTGCCAAATGGACTAGACTCACCATGCCATGTCTCAAGTTACTCCCACACTGCATCCCAAATTGCACAGTTATGTACACACCTCTTCACCTGTCCCTTGCATAATCTCCAGAGGGATGGAGAAGATTTTGCTGTACATTCGAAGAGATTTCCTCATCCCAGATTGTATCACAACGAGTAGGATACGGAGATTGGTGCCACCTAAATCAAGAGCAATGAACTTGCCATTCTCTGCAAAAGAAAGTTGCCTCATGTTGTTACTGACAGAAAAATGCTTTCAATTTAGGCATATGAATATCTTCATATTAGAATGGTCGAAGCAATTATCCCTTTGCCATCACTCTTTGTTAAAAGCTTCATCATTTAAAAGACAATTTATTGAGATGTGGGTAAAGCTGCTAGACTATCATTTGATGCCAACCTCTAATTGTCCTGGGAAAGGTGATGATGAGCTGCCTTTAAGAACTGTTGCATTTCATTTGGCATCAGCGCAATGATGTTAAGAAGGGAGTTCTGGGATTTTGACCCAGTGCATTTATAAGAATGATTGGGATGTGAATATAAGGAGGTATGGTTAGTAAGTTCGTGGATGACACCAAAATTGGTCATACAGTGGACAATGAAAAGGGTTATCTAAGAGTACAAAGAGATCTTGATCTGATGGGCCAATGGGCTGAGAAATGGCAGATGGAGTTTAATTTAGATAAATGCAAGGTGTCACATTTTGGTAAGGCAAATCAGGGTAGGACTTAAAAAGTTAATAAGGCCATAAGATCATAAGACATAGGATCAGAAATTAGGCCATTCAGCCCACTGAGTCTGCTCCACCATTCAATCATGGCTGACAAGGTTCTCAACCCCATTCTCCTGCTTTTTTCTCATAACCCTTGATCCCCTTGACGATCAAGAACCTATCTATCTCCGTCTTAAATATATTCAATGACCTGGCCTCCACAGCCTTCTGTGGCAGTGAATTCAATAGATTCACCACTTTCTGGCTGAAGAAGTTCCTGGCTGAAGATGGTAGGGCCCTGGGGAGTATTGTTGAACAGAGGGCACAAGGGATGCCGTTCATAGTTCCTTGAAAGTGGCTTCACAGGTAGGGCGGTGAAGAAGGCATTTGGCACACTTGCCTTTATTGGTCAAAGCACTGATTACAGGAGTTGAGAGGTCATGTTGCAGCTATATAAGACATTGGTGAGGCCACTTTAGGAATAATGCATCCAATTCTGGTTGCCCTGCTATAGGAAGGATGTCGTTAAACTGAAAGGGTGCAGAAAAAATCTACAAGGATGTTGCCGCAACTGGAAGGTTTGAATTATAAGGGGAGCCTGGATAGGCTGGGACATTTTCCCTGGAACATCAGAGGCTGAGGGGTGACATTATAGGGTTTAAACAAAACAGCTGGAAAAGCTGAGCAGGTCTGGCAGCATCTATGAAGAAATAATCAGAGTTAACGTCTCAGGACCGTTAACTATGGCATTGCGGCTAATTTGATTTGCCCAATCTATGTGCAGATTAAAATCACCCATGATCGCTAATATTGCCTTATCACATTCATCTCTAATTTCCTGTTTAATGCCATTCCCAACATCACCACTGCAGTTTGGGGGTCTATATATCACACTCACTAATGTTTTTTACCCCTTGGTATTTCTCAACTCTACCCATACAGACTCCACATTGTCAGAGTTAATATCCTTTCTCACTGTTGTGTTAATTTCCTCTAAAACAGCAATGCCACTTCACCATCTTTTCCTTTTTGCATGTCCTTCCTAAATACCAAATACCTTGGGACATTCAGTGCCCATCCCGGTCTCCCTGCAGCTATGTCTCCATTATACCAATTGTGTTGTACTTGTTTACTTCTACCTGCGCAATTAGTTCATCCACTTTATTGCAAATGCACATAGCCTTTAAGATTGCCTTTTTAACATTGTTTGTCTTGCTCTTATTTTTCTCAATCGCCCTGTTTGAATTTTGTCCTTGGTTTCTCTGCCTGTCACTTTTCTTGTTGCCTTTCCTACCTTCTGATTTTGTCATTGCTCCCTCCTTCTCTGACTCCTTACATAGGTTCCCACCCCTCTGGCATATTAGTTTAAACCCTCCCCAATCACTCTAGCAAACATTCCTCCAGGACACCAATCCCAGTCCTGCCCAGATGTAACCCGTCCAATTTGTACAGGGCTCACCTCCGCCAGAACCAGTCCCAATGCCCCAGGAATCTGAAACCCTCCCTCCGACACCATCTTTTCAGGCACGTATTCATCCAGTACATCCTGTCATTTCTACTCTGACTAGCACGTGACACCAGTAGTAATCCTGACATCACTACCTTTGAGGTCTGCTTTCGTAACTTTGTCCATAGCTCCCTGTATTCTGCTTTTCGGACCTCATCCCCTTTTTAACCTATGTCATTAGTACCGATGTATACCACAACCACTCTTTACTCTTCCCTGTCCATAATGTCCTATATCCCCTCCGAGATATCCTTGACCCTAGCACCAGGGAGGCAACATACAATCCTGGAGTCTCATTTACGGCCACAGAAATGCCTGTTTATTCCCCTTACAATTGATAACTAAAAAATAACTATTGCCCTGGCAGACTTTTTACCCCTCCCCTCTGCAGCAGAACCAACCGTGATGTAGTGTGTTTGGCTGCTGCTGCTTTCCCCTGAGAGTTCATTCACCTCAAAAGTATTCAAAATGGTATAACTGTTTTGCAGGGGAATAGCCACAGGAGATTCCTGCCCTACCTGCCTATTTCTCTTGCTGTGTCTGGTGGTCACCCATTCCCTTCCTGCCTGCAGAATCTGAGCCTGTGGTGTGACCACCTCCGTATTCATGCTATCCACAATACTCTCTGCCTCAAGGAAGCTCCACAGTGTCCCCAGCCACCGCTCCAGCTCTGAAACTCGAGCTTCCAGGAGCTGTAGCTGGAGACACTTCCTGAACACATGCTGACCTGGGGGACTGGAACTATCCCCAGCCTACCACACGAAGCAAGAGGAGCAAACCCAGACTTTGAGCTCTCCTGCCATGGTTTACCTCTTTAAATTATATCTTGGAGAGAATTTTGTATTAGATTAAATCAAATCCAGTTATATGTTGCCGTCTTTACCTGGTCTGTGTACTACCCTTACAGATTAGAAGCTAAAAAAAGTGCTATAGGTGATTGAAGTTGTAAGGCCTTACCCGTTACTCACCAATCAGCTCCCTCCATTGCAGTCACCTACAGTAGGACAAGACCACTCACTTTCCCTTGCTTGTGGTCCTCATGGTGACTTTATTTTGGTTGGAGGAGGAGGAAGGGCGGGAAAAACTGAAGTAGTGTTTGGAGTTTGTCTGTCCCTTGACAACACTTCCTCCACAAACCACTGTTTGGTATTGGTGACTGCACCGATGCAAATCTTCACCCAACTGCCAGTCAGTGTCTTTGCAGCTCTCTGCTGGACAGAAGGGTCTGTTTCTGTGCTGTGTAACTATGACTCTATAATGTTCCTCCCCAGTGACAAAGCATCCGCAGAACCTTTTGATCAGGAAACAATTTGCAATTAACTTCCAGGCCTGGCCTCACAAATAAACAAAAGCTTGTTCATCTATTTTCCTTTTAACATACCTGTTACCCATAGGTTTTATATCGCTGCAACATGTTTTGCCAACTCTTGTACTCCACGCCCTTGGCGCTGAGGGCAAGCAATGCCATATGCCTTCTTAATCACTTTGGCCACCTGTGTTGCCACTGTTAGGGAACTGTGGACCTGCATGCCCAGATGCATCTGGATGTCAATGTTTCTAAGGGTTCTGCCATTAACAGTATAATTCACACCTAAATTTGATCCTCCAAAATGCATCACCTCGTATTTGTCTGGATTAAACTCCATCTGCCATTTCTATGTCCAAGTTGCCAGTCTATCTGTGTCCTGTTGTATCCTTTCACTATCATCGGCACTAACAGCAGCTCCACCAAGCTTTGTGTCATCTGCAAACTTACTAATCAGACCACCCACATTTTCCTTCAGATCATTTATATATACTACAAACAACAGAAGACCTAAGACTGATCCCTGTGGAACACCTATAGTTACCCAACTCCATTCTGAAAAACACCCTTCCACCACTACCCTCTGTCTTCAAATATCAAGCCAGTTTTGTATCCATCTAGCCAGCCCAGCCTGAATCCCATGTGATTTTAGTTTTTGTACTAATCTGCCATGTGGGACTTTATCAAATGCCTTACTAAAGTCTACATAAACTATATCCACAGCTCTTTCCTAATCAATTATCTGGTCACCTCTTCAAAAAATTCAATCAGGTTGGTGAGACACGACCTTCCCTGTATGAAACCATGCTGCTTGTTGCTAACTAGCCTGTATGCCATATATATGTGTGTCTCAATATATATTAATGATTTGGATGAGGGAACAAAATGTAACATCTCAAAATTTGCAGATGGTAGCAAGTTGTGTGGGAGGGTAACTGTGACGAGGATACAGAGATCCTTCTGCATGATCTGGATAGGTTGGGTGTGTGGGCAAATCATTAGCAGATGCAGTATAATTTGGATAAATGTGAGGTTATTCACTTCAGAAGCAAAAACAAGAGGGCAGATTACTACCTGAATGGCTGTAAATTGGGAGAAGGGAGTGTGCAACGGGACCTGGGTGTCCTTGTGTACTAGTCGCTGAAAGTAAGTATGCAGGTGCAGCAGGTGGTAAAGAAGGCAAATGGTATGTTGGCCTTCATTGTGAGAGGTTTCGAGTACAGGAGCAGGATTGTGTTGTTGCAATTGTACAGAGCCTTGGTGAGGCCACATCTGGAATATTGTGTGCAGTTTTGTTCTCCTCTTCTGAGGAAGGAAGCTCTTGCTCTCGAGGGAGTGCAGCGAAGGTTTACCAGGTTGATTCCAGGGATGGTGGGACTGATGTATGAGGAGAGATTAACTAGGTTAGGATTGTTTTCGCTGGAGTTCTGATGAATGAGGGGGGATCTCATTGAGACTTATAATATTCTAACAGGGCTAGGCAGTGTAGATGCAGGGAGGATGTTGCCAGTGGTGGGTGTGTCCAGAACCGGGGGGTCACAGTATGAGGATTCGGGGTAGACGATTTCGGACAGAGGTGAGGAGACATTTCTTCACCCAAAGAGTGGTGACACTGTGGAATTCATTACCACAGGAAGCAGTTGATGCCAAAACATTGAATGTATTCAAGAGACGGCTAGATATAGCATTTGGGGCAAATGGGATCAAAGGTTATGGGGAGAAAGCAGGCTTAGGCTATTGAGTTGGATGATCAGCCATGATCATGAAGAATGGCAGAGCATGCTCCAAGGGCTGAATGGCCTCCTCCTGCTCCTAACTTCTATGTTTCTATGTCCAACTCGTCAATGCCAACCAGATATCGTAAAATGATCTAATCCCGTTTGCCAGCATTTGGCTTATAGCCCTCTAAAACATTCCTATTCATGTACTCATCCAGGTGCCTTTTAAATGTTGTAATTGTACCAGTCTCCACCACTTCCTCTGGCAGCTCGTTCCACACACGAAACATCCTCTGTGTGAAACGGTTGACCCTCAGGTCCCTTTCAAATCTTTTCGCTCTCAACTTAAACCTATGCCCTCTAGTTTTGGACTCCCCCACCCAGGAAAAAGACCCTATCCATGCCCCTCATGATTTTATAAACTTCTATCAGGTCACCTCTCAGCCTCTGATGCCCCAGGGAAAAAAGCCCCAGCCTACTCAGCCTCTCCCTATAGCTCAAACTCTCCCACCCCAGCAACATCCTTGTAAAGATTCATTGAACCCTTTCGAGTTTTCAAGGTTTTTGAGAAGATTTGTAGCTCAGGTTGTTGATGCGATTGTTGACTTGCTTGCTGAGCTGGTAAGTTTGTTTGCAGATATTTCATCACCCTGCTAGGTAACATCATAAGCGCACTTCTGAAGAAGCGTCAGTGTTCTGTCCCGCTTGCAATTTATGTGTCTCAGTTTGCTGGGGTGGGTGGCATCACTTCCGGGTTTGTTTCTTAGTGGTTGGTATATGGGACCCAGCTCTACATGTTTGTTAATGGACTTCCGGTTTGAGTGTCAGGCCTCCAGGAACTCAAACGAGAACTTACAAACATGTAGATCTGCACCCCATATACCAACCTAGTATGATGATGAAACGTCTGCAAACAAACTTACTAGCTCAGCAAGCAAGTCAACAAATTTACAAGTTTAACAACATCCTTCTTATAGCAGGGTGACCAGAAATAAATGCAGTATTCTAAAGGTGGCCTCACCAATTATGTTTAAACAGATCGCAGAAGTTGGCTATAAGTGACGTCAGTACCTGTACTGCAGTGCATCAGTTTGCACTGCCCAGGCATAGCACTGCCGCTCTGCAGCACTGCCCTGACACAGTCCTGTCTCACTGAAGCACTGCCTCATTATAACACATCATTCGTGTCAATTATATGCTTGAATCTGTGCAGTGGATCTTGAAGGCTCAAGCATATCTCCAAGAGATGGAATGCTTACAGTTCAGCCCAGCTTAACATAGAAAGCGCAACAAACCCTTGTCCATTTAATTCACTGCTGTGGCCGCAGTGTTGTTTTGCCCAGTTGATCTGGTGATTAAAATTCTGGTACTGACTTACCATTTCCTGTGGGAAATTTACGAATGTAGGTGGGAAGCATTTTGACTGCGGCACCATTGTGGGTGTCTGTTTTTAGTCCTCGTTCCATATTTGATCTCATCTTATCCATTATGTCGAGCAGTTGGTCACGGTTGAGTCTGAATGGTGCCAGGGTCTTATCTATATATTTACGTTGATGAACGAGCCTCTGGGCTACCGCAGTCACCATGGCAGCCCCTTTCCCAGTGCCATGTTCAGCCAGAAAGAATCGCACATCGCAGTCAGGGACCAGGCTTCGAACCATCTTGTGGAAGTACTTTGCATACCTGTAATGGAGTGTCAAAGTGTTACAACCCAATGTTAAAACACAGAGCCTTAAAGTTTCATTTTGGGTGTTTAAGAAAGTACATTTATTCCTCAATGATTCATCAGCTTCTGACACTCTGTGGCCTGTAAATGAGACGTGGTGGATAAGATGTGTAAAATATAACGTGGGGAATGTAAACTTCCAATTTGCAGGAAGCATAAAAAAGTACAGAATATTATCTAAACCTGGAGAGACTGCAGAATGCTGCAGTACAGAGAGATCTGCAAAGCAAGTGCTCCCAACTGCAGAAAGGTGCATTCCAGGTTTCAGATCTAGAGCGGCAGATGGAGATTGTGGCACATCCATGAGTCTGAGAGTTGTCTGAATATTAGTTTTAGACAGGTGGTCACACGGTAGTCCAAGGCACTGAGGAAAAGATGGGAATGGGTGACCAGTCTAAGAGAAACATGCAGGTCATGCAGGAGTCCCCTGGGGGGGGTAACCTCACAGCTCGGTTTGCCATTTTAGAAACTGATGAGGGTGCTGGTTTCTGAAAGGACTGCAGTCAGAGCCACATTTGTGGTACCACAAGTGGTCTGACTGAGTAGGAGGGGAGGAAGAAGAAAGCAGGAACATTAGGGACCAGGAGAACAAGTGTTTCTGTGACCATGGACATGACTCCAGGATAGTGTGTTGTCTCCCTGGTGCCAGAATCAGGGTTGTCACCGTGAGTGGCTGCAGGGTGGCCCTGAAGGGACAGGCTGACAAGCCAGAGGTCACGATACACATTGATACCAACGATACAGAAGAATTCTGTGATCTAGGTAGTAGATTAAAAAACAAAATAAGTTTAAAATTTAAAAAAAATTAAAATCTCAAAGGTTGCAATCTTTGGATTGCAATCAGTACCATGCGCCAGTGGGTACAGGAATAGAAGAATAGGGCAGATGAATGCACGGCTCAAGAGCCCATGGTGTTCATAGCATCATAGAATCCCTCAGTGTAGAAGCAGGCTATTTGGCCCATCAAGTCCACATTGACTGTCCAAAGAGCATCTCTCCCAGACACAATCCTCTACCCTATTGCTGGAACTCTGCATTTCCCATCGCTAATAAGACAATAAGGCAGAAATTAGGCCATTTAGCCCATTGAGTCTGCACTGCCAGTCAATTATGGCTGATAGGTTTCTCAACCCCATTCTCCTGTTTCCTCCCTGTAACCTTCAATCCCCTTGACAATCAAGAACCTATCTATCTCTGTCTTATATATACTCAATGATCTGGCCTCCACAGCCTTCTGTGGCAGTGAATTCCATAGATTCACCACTCTCTGGTTGACGAAGTTTCTCCTTATCTCTGTTCTAAAGGGTCTTTCCTTTACTCTAAGGCTGTGCCCTTGGGTCCTAGTCTCTGCTGCTAATGGAAACATCTTCCCAATGTCCACTCTGTCCAGGCCATTCAGTATTCTGTAAGTTTCAATTACATCTCCCTCATCCTTCTAAACTCCGTTGAGTATAGACCAAGAGTCCTCAAGCATTCCTCATATGTTAAGTCTTTCTTTTCTAGGATCATTCTCTTGAACCTCCTCTGGGCCCACTTCAGGGCCAGTACATCCTTCCTAAGTTATGGGGCCCAAAATTGCTCACAATGTTTAAATGTGATCTGACCAGAGCCTTGTAAAGCCTCAGAAGTACATCCCTACTTTTACATTCTAATCCTCTCGAAATAAATACTAACATTGCATTTGTCTTCCCAACTAATGACTCAACCTGCAGGTTAACCTCAAAAGAATCCTGGACTAAGACTCCCAAGTCCCTTTGCACTTCAGGCTTCTGAATATTCTCCCAATTTAGAAAATAGTCTATTCCTCTATTCTTCTTACCAAAGTGCATGACCTTGCATTTTCCCATATTGTATTCTATCTGCCATTTCTTTGCCCACTCTCCTAGCCTGCTTAAATCCTTCTGCAGCCTCCCCGCCTCCTCAATACTACCCGAACATCCCCCTATCTTTGAATCATCTGCAACCATAGCCAGAAAACCTTCAGTTCCTTCATCTAGATCATTAATGTATAAAGTGAAAAGTTTGTGGTCCCAACACTGACCCTTGCAGAACACCACTCGTCACCGGCTGCCATCCTGAGAAAGACCCCTTTATCCCCACTTTCTGCTTTCTACAAGATAGCCAATCTTCTAGCCATGCTAACACCTAGTAGTCTACTTAGCCTGCACATCCCTGGACACAATGGGCAATTTAGCATAGCCAGTCCACCGAACCAATAATCCAGAGATTATGTGCTTTGAAGTTCTGCTTTTTACTTTAGCTCATAACTTCGCAAATTCGTTCAGCAGAGCCTTCTTTCAGGTACCATCAATGTCCCTGGTACCAATGTGAATGATGACAACTCAACCCTTGCCTCCTATTCCAAGTTCCTTTCCACTCCTAAGGAGATGCTCTCAACCTTGGCACCAGGCAGGCAACGAAGCCTTCGACTCGCACTCATGGCTGCAGATAACGGTATCTAGCAACTAATTATATTGCACCCTACCAGTACCACATTCCTATTTCCTCCCCCCATTCGAATGGCTCCCCGTACTCTGGAGTCATGGTCAATTCAATGCAGTCCCCACTCTTGTCCACACGCCTTGCAAGATCCCTTTAGCTGTTTGACAGTTGCAAGGGCCCAAGGCTCCTCAAATGTTACGCCCAGGCCCTCATACCTGCCTCTCCTGTATTCGCAGTCTTTTGATCTTGATCACAGACCATATTTGAAGGATCTAATCTGAGGGGTGTGACGACATCCTGGAACAAAGTGCCTAAACAGCTTTTACCTAACAACCTAATTTTTTAAGAAAACCGACATCATTTGTGACAACAAGGTGCAGAGCTGGATGAACACAGCAGGCCAAGCTCCTTGGCCTACTGTGTTCATCCAGCTCTGCACCTTGTTGTCTCGGATTCTCCAGCATCTGCAGTTCCTGCTATCTTGGCATCATTTGTGGGTAGGTTTGCTGGTGCTATTAGAAGGAATTTAAACTAGTTAATCATGGGGAGTTAGTACAATAGGGACACAGCATACTTTAAAAGTGAAAAGTAGGAAGTTTAGAAGGGATTTGGGAAAACTTATTTCACCCAGAAGGTGGTTGGGGTCTGGAATGCACTGCTTGAGAGGTAGGCAATCTCACAACCTTTAAAAGTACTTGGATGGCCACTTGAAAGGTCATAACATTCCAGACAATGGGCCTAGTGTAGGAAAGTGCGTCCAAGGCAGAAAGAGTTGAGCAATGCTGAATTTTAAGAAAGTTAGACAAGTTTGGATGACCTCTAACACTAGGAGTATTATAAGTAAGACAGATGAGTTAAGGGCATGGATTGGCACATGGAATTCTGACACTGTTGCTGAGGAACAAAAATGGAGTGGTCATATTTCTGGTAATGTATTGTAGACCCCCAAACAGTCAGCGGTGAATGGAGGAATAGATATGTAGACAATTCACTGAGATGTGTAAAAGTAACACTAATAGGGTGATTAATATTAGGGGTTTTGAATTTCTCCAACATTAATTGGGATATTAATAGTGTAAAGGGTTAAAATGGGGCAGATTTCTTGAAATGTATTCAGGAGAACTTTATATATCAATATAGAAGGCCTAACAAGCTGGGAAAGCCCAACATATTCACCATAGAGTGAAATATATGAGTAACTCGCTCAGACAACCCTGGATGTCTCAGAATCTTTAGGACTGGATAATTATAGAATCATACAGTACAGGAAAGGTCCTTCAGCCAATTGAGTCTGTACCACCAAAAATACACTACCACCTAGACTGGACCCACTTTCCGACACTAGGCCCATTGTCTGGAATGTTATGACCTTTCAAGTGGCCATCCAAGTACCTTTAAAGGTTATGAGATTGCCTACCTCAACTACCCTCTCAAGCAGTGCATTCCAGACCCCAACCACCTTCTGGGTGAAATAAGTTTTCTCAAATCCCTTCTAAACTTCCTACTTTTCATTTTTAAAGTGTGCTCCCTTGTTCTTGACCTTTCATCCTTTCCATGCCCCTCAATTTTGGACATCAGGTCGCAGGAGTGTACCGGCAGGCAGGAAGGTGGTTTGAAGTGTATCTACTTCAATGCCAGGAGCATCCGGAATAAGGTGGGTGAACTTGCAGCATGGGTTGGTACCTGGGACTTCGATGTTGTGGCCATTTCGGAGACATGGATAGAGCAGGGGCAGGAACGGTTGTTGCAGGTTCCGGGGTTTAGATGTTTCAGTAAGATCAGGGAAGGTGGTAAAAGAGGGGGAGGTGTGGCATTGTTAGTCAAGGACAGTATTACGGTGGCAGAAAGGACGTTTGATGACAACTCGTCTACTGAGGTAGTATGGGCTGAGGTTAGAACCAGGAAAGGAGAGGTCAC